TCCAGAATTCATCTAATCCTCCCATGCTCTCCCTCCCTACCCCACTATGAGTCAGCCTCCTTATATCAGAGAAAACATTTGGCATTTGGTTTTTTGGGATTGGCTAACTTCACTTAGCATTCTTTCCAACGCCATCCATTTACCTGCAAATGTCATGGTTTTGTTCTTTTTTAATGCTGAGTAAAATTCCATTGTGTATATATGCCACATTTTTTTTATCCATTCATCCACTGAAGGGCATCTAGGTTGACTCTACCGTTTAGCTATTGTGAATTGTGCTGCTATAAACATTGATGTGGCTGTGTCCCTGTAGTATGCTGTTTTTAAGTCCTTTGGGTATAGTCCGAGGAGAGGAATAGCTGGGTCAAATGGTGGTTCCATTTCCAGATTTCCAAGGAATCTCCATACTGCTTTCCATATTGGCTGCACCAATTTGCAGTCCCACCAGCAATGTATGAGTGTACCTTTCCTCCCACATTCTTGCCAACATTTATTGTTGTTTGTCTTCATAATAGCTGCCATTCTGACTGGAGTGAGATGACATCTTAGAGTAGTTTTGATTTGCATTTCTCTGATTGCTAGAGATGATGAGCATTTTTTCATATATTTGTTTGATTGTATGTCCTCTTCTGAGAAGAGTCTGTTCAGATCCTTGGCCCAGTTGTTGATTGGGTTATTTGTTTTTTCGGTGTTTAGCTTTTTGAGTTCTTTATATACCTTAGAGATTAGTGCTCTATCTGATGTGTGAGGGGTAAAAATTTGCTCCCATTCTGTAGGCTCTCTGTTCACCTCACAGATTGTTTCTTTTGCTGAGAAGAAACTTCTTAGTTTGATTCCATCCCATTTATTGATTCTTGGTTTTAATTCTTTCACTATAGGAGTCAAGAAAATTATTTTAACTGATAAATCCAATATCATCTTTCTTCCATTCTTTCCTATTTCTTTCATGCTGGGGAATGGACCCAGGACTTTTATACATGTTACTCTTACCACTGAGCTATATCCCAGTCCTCAATATCTTCTTCCTCTTTTTTTAACATTTATTTTTTAGTGATAGGTAGACACAATGCCTTTATTTTACTGTTATGTGGTGCTGAGGATTGAACCCAGTGCCTCACACATGCGAGGCAAGAGCTCTTCCTCTGAACCACAACCCCCAGTCCTCTTTTTTTTTTTTTCCTTTATTGTACCAGGGATTGAAGCCAGGGGTGTTCAACCACTGAGCCACATCCCTAGTCCTTTTTATTATTTTTTAAAATTTTGAGACAGCATCTCACTAAATGCTTATAACCTCTCTAAGTTGCTCAGACTGGCTTTGAATTTCGATCCTCCTGCCTCAGCCTCTTGAGTAAGTGGGATTATAGGCATGTGACACCTGGCCTGTCTTTCTCCTTCTCATTGTCTAGTAATAGGCATTGAACCCAGGGATGCTCTACCAGGAGGCTATACCCAATCCTTTTTATTTTTTATTTTGAGACAGGAGCTTGCTAAATGGCCAAGGCTGGACTCAAACTTAGGATCCTCCCACCCCAGCCTCCTAAGTAACTGTGAGTCCAGGTGTATGCCACTGTGCCCATCCCTCAATATCATTTTTTAAAATATATGAATATTTGTGCCATCCTTGTGCAGGGGCTATGCCAATTTTTTCTATGTCATTCAAATTTTAATGTTGCTGAGGTGAGCACTCTATCATTTTTATGCTCTCCACACTTGTGGAATGTGAAGCTTTTTTGCTTTGTGGTGCTGGGGATGGAACCCAGGGCCTTGCACTTGGTAGGCGAGCATTCTACCTCAGAGCTACATTCCCAACCCTAAACTTGTTTAAGGTTAGATTTCATCAACTTCTCTGATAAGGCAGAAAACTTGAAGTCTCAGCTTTCTGATTCTGATTTTACTGGATGACCTTGGGCAAGTCATTTAAGCCCTCAGGTTTGGTTTCCTTATCTTTAAGATAGACAGATTCTTTCCTTACGGATTCTGAAGTCATAGGGATGTGGTTAAAAAAAGCAGACAGTGCACCAACATTCTAGCTCCTGGGAGATGAGCTCCATTGCATTTAGTCAGTGAATATCATTCTCTACTCTAGTTCTTTAGGGAGGCAGGCTATGAGAAGCCTGGCTGGTGATGCTGGCTAATTAGATATTCACACCTACACTGCTTAACTGTGCACCGACTTCTGTCTGAACCGACGCTCTTGGATAGCAGGTGTTTCCCAAGGTGCTTTATGTTTATTAATCATATTCTTTGATGAACCTGTCTGCAAAGTGTGGAGTTTGGAAATGGGTGTGTCACCTATATGACTGTATTCACATATGTCCAAATGGAGTTTTCTTACTGAAAGTTGAAATACCTTTCAAAATTTGGTGATTTGGTAGGGAGTAAGGAAAGCTGTCATTTGCATCTGGAAAAGAGTGTCAAATTGTGGACTTTGTAATTATGTTGTATTGTTTTGCTCGAATTCGGGACCCCCAAAAGATCACCAGAGACCAACAACTCTTAACATTGATTAGCACATTCACTGGTGGGAACAAGTTGGGTAGAGGTGATTGGTTACTACAAGAGGGGGATTTGTTTGAACTGATTGGTTTAAGCCAAGAGGGGTGTTCATGCTGAACTACATAGTTTTCCAACACCATAAACTTCTGGGGGGTCATCTGGCATCCCAGTATTTTCCCTGTCTCATGCTGATTGGTGGCTGCTAGGGGGTTGCTATGGGTTCCCACCTAGCCTGACTGAGTCAGGGACACCTGACACTCCTGTCATTTGTAGATAAACAACTTAGCAGGGTGGGTATGTGCCTAGGAGTGCTCTGTGGGTCTTTCCAAGGACAAGAGTCATGCCCCCTTCCTTGGACAGGCTTTGCTCTGTGGTAGAGGCTGGTTTTTCAGTATTTCCCAGCTTCAGATGCTGGTCACAGGTCAAGTTCAAGTGTCATATATAAACCAAGCTTCTGTTGTACAGTCTTCATAAAACAAGGTTCAAGGTGGTGCCGGTAGGGGTGTAAGGAGTGAAGAGGCCACGGGTTTTAGAAGCATACATCTCTCTTTAGTTGCATGTCACATTCAGGTGAACTTGACTGAGCCTATGTTGTTGTATGTGGGGTTTTATTTTGGTGAGGAGGGGTACCAGGGATTGAACTCCATCTCCAGCCCTATTTTGTATTTTATTTAGAGACTGGGTCTCACTGAGTTGCTGAGCACCTTGCTTTTTGATGAGGCTGGCTTTGAACTCGTGATCCTTTTGTCTCAGCCTCCCCAGCTGCTGGGATTACAGGCGTGAGCCACCATACCTGGCTTGTGCTGTTTTGTGTACTTGTGTGTATGCATGTATGGTTTGTTTTATCTATAGAGTGAGAATAATAATAGCACTTCCTACTATAATTATATTAAATATCCCTTTTTAGGGGAAGGGGCAGAGAGTATTTCCATTGGAAATTATATATAGGGCTGGGGACAACTTATCAAATATTTAGAAAAATTGAGAAGTGAATTTTAGTTCATCCCTGGTTTACCCCTTTGGGGTAAACACCTGAAGTGGTAAATGGATGGGTGTTTTGTACTATAACTTCCCCTCCTTTTTGCACTCTTGGGCTCTCTGCTTTCTTCTCGGTGTTCTCTCCTAATTTCTTCTTTTCTGGTATGATCTCTGACATATTGAAACCTCCTCTGAATTCACTCACTTCTCCATGTCCTTCAAATGCACCCACGAGAATACCCATGGATATTTCTTTCAAACTACAGGGGCTAACTCCAGCTTTTTTCCCCTGGCTCCATGGCAGATACATTTTAATTTTCAATCTATACACCTTTAGTTCTTAAGAAAACACTAAACCATATATAAAGTTTTTAATTCAAAATTCTAATAATCTCCATTTAGCATTTTCCCCGCCAATTCCTGTTTATTTTTGGCTCTTGGAGCAATGTCATCTTCTCTCTCTCTCTCTCTCTCTCTCTCTCTCTCTCTCTCTCTCTCTTTTAATGACACAATACCTTTATTTCACTTATTTTTATGTGGTGCTGAGGATTGAACCCAGTGCCTCACACATGTGAGGCAAGCGCTTTGCCACTGAGCCCCAGCCACAGGTCATCTTTTCTCTATCTTGCATATTAATCATTTGTAGTGGAAGAAAATTTTTTCTTCTGCTCTCTTAGGTTATCTGCCTGGGGCCTGTAAATTAAAGTGGTAAAAGACTAATAATAGAAAACATATACAAATTGTGTAAATATTAATGTTTTTGATTTTACATACAGAAGCTTCGTAGAGAAGAAATGAAAACCCAAGGAAGTCATTAGAATTGGGGGTTTATATACCATTTTAACAACGGGTGATAAATTGTGGAGAGCTGTCTACAAAGGCAAGGCGGGGTTGGACTGCAAAGGGCAGTAAATTGCAGAAAGGTGACTGGAAAATATACGATGTCTACATTTTAAGATTTGTTTAGTTTGGTTAAACAGGCTCATCACCTTGCCATCTCCAGAAATAAGAGTCTTCTGGCCTTTCTGACATAGGAGAGGAGCACCTTCACAAATGGACATTTCCTCTTCACAAAGGAATTTTATGCCAGTTTTAGGCAAATGGGGGAAGACAGAGAGCTCCTTTTGTGTCTGCTGTTTCTCAGCAGCCTTTAGTTCAAAATAATCCTTACACCAAAGTGGCACATTTTGCATAAGCATATTCTGTTCCCTTTAAATACAATAGTTGGGGAGACATTGAATTAGATAAGAATAGAAAAGGCAAATATGTATTCAAATATAGTTATGGCTGAAGGTATGAACAGACAGCTATCTATAAGTATTTATTCCCTTGGCCACCGCTCAGCCTTGAAACCCAACAAGCATATACAAAACAAACAACAGCCATGAGGGCTGGCTATGGTCATTTTGAGGTCACTAACTGACTTCCAACTGTGTATATCTTGATGCCTTGGGTAAAAGAGCCAGGGGTTGATTTGCACTATGGATGATTATATATTTTTCCATTTTGGTTTTTCTGTCTGACAGCAGCAGCGTGCAGGGTCAAAGACAGCCGGCCTCCCATGTCAGTGGTCTAGGATGGCCAGTGAAGCCACCAACATCCCAAGTCCTGTGGTGCGCCAGATTGACAAGCAGTTTCTGATTTGCAGTATATGCCTGGAACGGTACAAGAACCCCAAGGTTCTCCCCTGTCTGCACACGTTCTGCGAGAGGTAAGCCTCCTTTGTGCTTGGAGAAGGGACTTGCACAGACTGACCTCCTACCACCTTCCGCAGGCTTCTTTCCCAGAATTCTACCATCACCCAAGGGAGACAATGAAGCACTTGTGCTTCCGACAGACATCTAGAAACCCAATCATGAGCTAACGTACTGTATTTCAAATAATGCAAGTCAGAGAAAGCAACCAGGTAACTACTGACTGGTTCATTTTCAAAGGAGGTAGAACATTGAAAAGGTAGTTTAAAATAAAAACATTTAAAATTTTTTCTTTGTTCTTCAGAAATAATTTTTGTCAACTGCAAACTGCAGTAGTAATTGGCCAAAAAATAAGTAAATTTAAATAAATATATATATATATATATATATATATATATATATATATATTTTTTTTTTTTTTTTTTTTTTTTTTTTTTCCTGATCTGTAACAGATCAGGGAGAAACCTACATATCATATAAGGGGTCAGTTCACAGAACAGCGTTCTTTCCTCAGAGATACTTCAAACACATATTAATGTCACTTTGGGACATTGAGATGTCTTAGATAAATGAAAAAACTACATAAAATGCATATATATAATTATTATAAATTACCTTAAGAAAACACACTTTCTTATTTGTCTCTATTGAGAGGATTTTTTTTGAAGTGTGGTATTAGTTACCAAAATATGCTTTTACCCTATTGTTTAACTTACCTTGTAAGAACTTAGACATAAAAAGTTTATAAGTAATTAATTTATCTGTGGCCCAATTTAAGTATTTTCATAGTAAAGTTTACATATTTTTCTTAAAAGCAAAATGGTAATTATGTTTTTTAGCATTTTGTTACATACATTTTTATTATTATTTAATATACGTAATTAAAATGCTTCACCCCCATGATGGAACGGAAATCAATACTTCCAATGGCTTCAAATGTATGATGACTATATTTATCATCGACTTAACACACATTTTTTTATCTGATTGTTGATTTACTTTGGAAGGTCTCAAATGCAAAAGAATAACCGTATCCTTGGTGATGGTGATTGGTAGAGAGAGATGGTAGATTCATTACTTGTAGTTGTGGGTTTTTGTTTGTTTGAGGTTGTGTGTGTGAGAGTGTGTGTGTTTACGTGTATATATAGACTTTTGTTTGCTTGAGTGGTGGAATATATAGTGTAGCAACACCTTTTATTTTACTCATTTTACACTTTGGCTTAAAGGCTTCATAACTTATATTCCAAAGTAATTAAATAGAGTATGATTTTTTTCCTCACCACTTAATGGGTGTAGCTAAAACATGAATCCCAGAAAACTGTCCATGTGTCCCTGTGTCCACATGGCACCTTCATTACTTGATTGCAGCAGTTGGCATAGGGTGGCTTTCATTGTACACCACATTGAGAGTCATTCAGGGTGACTCCATTCCTGTGTTTGGTATCCCATCTGTTTTGGGGGTCCTCTTTCCTTACATTCACAGGTGAGAACAAGGCATCTGAGCTGGCCTGGGTCTGGCCCAACCCACCCCTGCTCTCTGCCTGACACCAAGTGGTGGGGATTTGTGAGCTCCTGCTATGGCGAGTCCCTGTGGAATGCCATGCGTTAGAATTATTCCAGCATCGTGAACACTGAAATGATTTCCTTTTGGAGGGAATTCCTTCCCTTGAGAAGATTTTATTTCTGTAGAGATGGGACTTCACAGTTTGGCTCACTGTCAGGAGACTGAACCGTAGGACCCCTTATGCTGGACACACATACCCGCTGCTTGGTGACACCTTCACAGTTGCTCTCTTACCCCACATCTTCCAAGGCACCATCAATGGGGCTTGGAATGAGCAACACCAGACACCATCCTTGGCCTGTGAAGAAGCCAGTTCCTAATTCCCTAGTCTCCAATTAATGTGACATTAAAACAGGAACAAAGGCTACATACCATAATTACACAGAAAACCATGGTGTAGAGGCAATTGCTCTTTCAGGGAAGGCATCCCTGCAGAATTGTTAAGCAGAAATCCCAAGAATGAGTACATATTAAGCAAAAAGGAATGAGTAAAGGAAAGGATTTCAGGTGTGGGCAGAGGTGCTATAGTGAAAGGCACAGACATGTCACAAGAATTTTCACAGACCCATGAGAGGGAGAGACAAAATACGTAGGTCATCCATGCTACAAAGTATGGATTCTTATTTTCATAACAGGGCAGTGGAATCCATGATGGGAGGACAGGGAGATATAAATGGTAAGTTTTGAGATTCTGATGAGGTTACTCTGAGTGTGATATGGAGAAGGGTCAGGGAGTACAAGGGGAGATGACAGGATGGAGGTGAAAGTCCATTGCAGAAGTCCAAGAAAGGTTGGTGTAGCAGAGATGAAGAGAACTGGAGGGGTCAGAAAGATACCTGGGAACTGACAGCCTTTTGTGATGGGTTGGATACAGGAATGAAGGTCAGCGGGGGGAATTACTGTTTTATGAATGACTCCTGATTTCTGGTTTGCTTTGATGAATGGATGGAAGTGCCAATTATCGAGATAGGAAGAAGAGATGGTTTGGTTTTAGACTTGTTGAGTTTTAGGACCTGTGAGATATCTAAGAGGAGATGTCAAGAAGGCAGTTGACACACAGGTATGGGACTCAGAGGAGACATCTCTGAGGATGGGACCTCAGATAACTCCAAACTTTATTAACTCAGAAAAGAGAGAGAAGATAGAGGGAGGATCAGATGGTGTAAGAAAGACAAAGGAAGATAAATAGCAAAAAAGAAGGGGAGAGGGACAGATGAGGCTTGGTGAATGCTGCTGAGAAGTCTCCAAAGATAGGATTGAAAGACGTCTGTGGGGTTTAGGTATCATTTGTAACCTTAGGGAAAGCTGTTTCATTTCTGGTATTGATTCAGCACTAGCTATGTCTGTGATACAGAGAAGATCATTCAACCTTCCTCAATGTCAGTTTTTCCTTCTGAAAAACCAGAAGAGTGGGACCAATTCAGTGGTTTTTGAATTCCATTTGGCTAAACAGCAGGAAAACATTGATTAGTCTTTGTTGTTGTTTGTGCTTTATTTTTGAAGCACTGGGGATTGAATCCAGGGCTTTGCACAGGCTAGGCAAGTGCTACCACTGAGCTACACCCCCAGCCCCAAGTCTGGTTGTTTAGAGCTCGGATTACAGTGGCAAATTGTCTGGGTTCTGAATCCTGTTCTGCACTTAACCTTGGGCAGATCACCTTAGTCTTTCTCTGCCTGTGTGTCCTCATTTATCTAAGGTGATCATAATAGAATTTTCTTTGGAAGTTCTTTGGAAGTACTTTGAATAAATATGGTGGTCATTATTAGTGATTTATTTCTTTAATTAAATGAATTTAGTTGGTGCCTGTTAAAGGGGAGGAAGGAGAAGAGATGGTCTGACCCAGTCTGGGTGTCCCATTCTGCTTCACCCAAACATTTCCCCTCTCATGTGGTTTTAGTATCTGCTTATGGTCACTATAATGAATTCAGCATTAACAAAAATGTTGAACATGGGTCCACGTCCACATGTTTGGGAGCTCTGTGCTAACTATTGTAGACCATTGCTTCTCAAATTTGAATGTGTGAATCACACACTGGAATCCAGTAGTCTGGACAGGGCCCAAGATTCTGTATTTCTACCCAGTTCCCTAGGAGGCATAGGCTAGGTGGCTCACCCTGAACCACACCTGTGTGCCAAGACTCTAGAAAACGCTATAAAAGTCAATGACGCTTTTCTTTCCATGAGCACAGCCCTTTGCTTGACAGGACCACTGTGAGAACAAGTTAGCTCTTGGTTTCTGGAATATCATTTCCCTAGTTAAGGACACTCTGGAAGGCATTTCTGCACAGTCTATATAATTGCTGAGAACATGGAGGGAACGTGCAGGAAGTGGTGCATCCATCCTTTGGGCTGCTCCCTGCTGACTGTCCTCCTGTCTTCCTCTGCAACAGGTGCCTGCAGAACTACATTCCCGCCCACAGTTTAACCCTCTCCTGCCCAGTGTGCCGCCAGACCTCCATCCTGCCCGAGAAAGGGGTGGCCGCGCTTCAGAACAACTTCTTCATCACAAACCTGATGGACGTGCTGCAGCGGACGCCAGGCAGCAACATAGAGGAGTCTTCCATCCTGGAGACGGTCACCGCTGTGGCTGCGGGAAAGCCTCTGTCTTGCCCAAACCACGATGGGAATGTAAGTGAAGGGGATGGTGGAGACTGCCCAGAAGCCCTAGGGCTTTGACCTTGGGAACATCAGAGATGATAGGTTAAAAAACTCCACCTGGAAAGTGAGGGTTGGTTTTTTGTTTTGTTTTGTTTTGTTTTGTTTTGTTTTTTTGCAGCACTCGGATATGTTGGCCTGCTCACTTTTTCTGACCAGAATTATTTAAATAATAAGATCCATTTTGATTGTGTCTGCTTAGCCCCTACTGTTGGTATCCTCAGGAGAGCAAGTCAGTAGCTATTTTTAAGCTGGGCATAACTTGTCCCACATCAACATATGTCATAAATTATGGGTAAAGATTTAATAATGGATACATTCTGCAAATTGAGAGTGATTATTAAGATGTTAATTAATTAGAGCTGTTTATTTTTCTTGGGATGGAAATTTTTCCTATATTCCCTTACGCCCCATTCCTTAATAATAAATAGAATTTGAGGCTATAAATAGAATTTGAGGCTATGAATCATAGATTAGGATTAGAAGTAATAGATCATGGATTAGAAGTAATAGATCATGGATTATGAATTGCCAATATGTTTTCCTATTAGCAAGAACAAGTGTCACTTGTGTGTCATCAGATAACTGATTGACTATAGTATGTTCTGTAACCTAAAGAGACAGCATTGTGTCATGGCAAAGAGCACTGGCTTTGGGGTCTGCTGGCCTAATTCAAGTCCTGTTCCTGATCATAATCCCTGAGACAGCTTTGGCAGCTTTATTAAACTCTCTGTGTCTCATTTCCTATTGTGTCAAAAGGAAGTAATAATAATATTTACCATATAGGACACAGGAAAAATGAAAAGTTTGAATCATATGGAGCATGTGTTAAACTCTCAATAAAGGTAGCTATTAAAATTCTTTCTTGGGCTGGGGGTGTAGCTGAGTGGTAGAGAGCTTGCCTAGCATAAGCAGGCCCTGGATTCAATTCCAAGCACCATGCTCCCAAAATTATAATAATAATAAATATATATATATATATATATATATATATGTTATTGAATCAAAGGCCTGGACATGCTCATCACGTGCCCAACCACTGAACTACACTCCTACTACAATTTCTAATTAATGACTTTGTTCACTTTTTTCATTATATATTGGCCACTTTTAAAGTACTTAACTGCTTATAATAAAAAGCCCATGTGTAATACAATCACTAAGGCAAGCAAGGGATTGTTAGAGACAGATAATAATTATCAGCCGCAGTACTGTTTGATGACGTCATGTCACGTCACTTTTCTCTGCCCACTGTGCTGTAGCTTCCCTGGGCTCCTAGGGCTTGCCAAATGGTTTCTTACCTGCAGGACTGACGGTCCTGTTCCTTCTGCCTGGAATGCTGTTTGTGTCTTCTTTATGTGGCTAGCCGAGGCAGGCCACCTCTTGCACCATGGCCCTCCACGTCACTTCCTTCTTGGCTCCTTGGCACTCACCACTTCGTTTGCAGATGGCTACTTTTTTTTTTTTCCCTGGCATCAGGGATTGAACCTAGGGGAGCTTAACCACTGAGCCACATCCCCAGCTCTTTTTAATATTTTCATTAGAAACAGGGTCTTGCTGAGTTGCTTAGGACCTCACTAAGTTGCTGAGATGGGCTTTGAACTCACGATCCTCCGGCCCTCAGCCTCCTGAGCTGGTGGGATTACAGACATGCATCTCTGCACCTGGCTACAGATTGCTACTTAAGGGTCCTCTGGCTGTCCCTTTAGAATATGAGTTCCATGTGGGCAGGGACCTGGTTCATTACTCCCCTTAGCACCAAATGCAGAATCTTACACATGGAAGCCAGTCAGTGCACGTTTATCCAACAGATTTGCCCAACAACATACTTGGTTCCTCAAATGCATTTTACAAAGTTATTGTTATCTTCGTTTTTTAGATGAAGAGACTCAGGCTTGAATAGTTTAAGTCACAAAGCTAATTGACATGTCCTAAAAGCTAGACCAGGAAGAAATGGCATCCTGAGCTCTTTGGTAGCCCACACAAGAGAGAGACACTGTATTTTGTATCACACTGCTTAAGGAATTTCAGTCAAACACTGTATTATGTATCAGTCATTATTTAACTGAAAGCACAAGAGACTATTAATAGCTATCAGGTATTCTGTGCATTGCACTCCAAGGGAGAATTACCTGGTAAATTTTGGGGGGAAAAAACCCTTAAAGGCATGCCTTCAACAGCAGTTTGGGTGTTCTTGTGACCATTCCCACACTGGCTGATATTGAACATTGTCTCTTCTTGGAACTCACATCTTATCAGTTCTAAAAGGCCATTAGAGTCAGCCACGAGAGTTCCCTTCAAGTGTAGGCCAGACTCAACTTGATAGAGGGGTAAATTTTAGAAACACGAGGAGACCTGCTTTAGACCCTGGTCTAAGTTTGGAATGTAATGTAGCAAAAATGTCGAATGAGAAACGTTGGCAGTGGGGAAGGAAGGTAACATCACTAAGCAAAAGAAGGATGTGGTGGAATTTATAAGTGGCTGGTAGCAGGCAGGAGGTGATGGCGGGCACGGGTGGCAGTAGAAGTTATAGAGAGGAGCCTAGAAAGCTGCAGGGAGAGATTGTGACCAGCTATAAATATCATCAAGAAAATGTTTGCTTAAAATTCCTTAAGCAGTGTGAAAGCATTGAGGTCTGTTAAATAAAAGGTGGCCATTTCAGTGGCTTTAAGGAGAAATGGAATAGCAGAGACTAAAGGATGGGACACTGATTCTGGATTTATTTTTTATTTTATTTATTTATTTTTTGATTCTGGGGATTGAACCCATGGGTGTTTTGCCACTGAGCCACATCCCTAGCCCCTTTTATTTTTTATTTTGAGACAGGGTCTTTCTTAGTTGTTGAGGGTCTTGCTAAATTGCTGAGATTGGCCTTGAATTTAACAATCTTTCTGCCTCAGCCTCCTGAGTCACTGGGATTACAAGCATGTGCCACCCGGCTGGGCCAATTCTGAATTTATTGTTTTCCAAAGAGAAACCATCAGATAGAACTAGAATAGTATCAGTGGCTCTAGAGAAGAGAAGGCAAATTTCAGACAAAAGAGTACTCTTTCACTTGAATAGCTGCCTCCCACAAATGAAAATATATATTCTAAAATCTGTTAAACTAAACTATTAAGATTGAGATTTTGTGGGGCATAGTGATACACACCTGTAATCCCCATTACTGGGGAGCCTGAGGCAAGAGGATTGAAAGTTCAAGGGCAGGCTAGGCAACTCAGCGAGACTGTGTCTTAAAAAGGCTGGTGATGTCGCTCAGTGGTGGAGTACTAGCCTAGGATGCACAAGGCCCTGGGTTTAGTCCCCAGCACCACCACAAAAAAGAAAAAAAAAAAAGGAAGAAAATATAAAAGAAATAAAAGGAAAAAAGAAAAGATAGAAAACCACCCAATTCATTTATGATGTACTCATAACCCTGATGACCAAAACCTAGTGATGATAACAAGCTATTAATAATTCAATTGTGGTAGTAGCTATGAATTTCTTAATTAAAATACCCTAGCAAATTCTTTTTTTTTTTGGTTAGTGTATCTTTATTTTGTTTATTTATTTTTATGTGGTACTGAGGATTGAACCCAAGGCCTCGCGCATGCTGGGCAAGCACTCTACCGCTGAGCCACAACCCCAGCTCCCCCGTAGCAAATTCTTAATATGCAAGAGAACTTACAAGTTAAGAAAACTATGATCATCACAAAAGAAAATGAGAAGGAACTCAGAAAATCCACAGGGGGAGGTTTTCTAAGTGGCCAATAACTGTGTGCGTGTGCTTGTATACACACACACACAGAGATATTAAACAAACTTCACAAATAATCAAATCTTTGCAAATCAGCTACAATTTTTTGAAAAGATAATAGCCAGTGCTGATGAGGAGATGTATATTGAGATATTTTTATATGCCGTGGGCGGAAGGGTAAATTGCTCTTCAGAAAGTTGATGTTAATTTAATAAAATGTAATGAGTGTTTTCCACCACCATTCATCTTTTAATATAGTAGTTTCACTAATAGAAATATTTCTAAGGAAATACTTTAATATGAAGACAAAGACTTAATATTAAGAATGATTGTTGTGGGCCTGGGAATGTAGCTTAGTGGTAGAGCACCTGCCTATCATGTGCAAGGCCCTGGGTTACATTACCAGCACCACAAAAGAAGAGGAAAAAAAAGAATGTTAGTTACAATTTTTATATTTCAGTAAAAATTGGGAATAATCTAAATGTGCAATATTAAGAACATTGTTAAATTATGTTAAGTCCAAATAACAGATTGTTGGGTAGCCATTAAAACTGAGGGGGATTTATTTTTAATTATTTTGTTGTCATTGTTGTTGTTTGATACTAGGGATCAAACCCAGGGCCTCACGTGTGCTAAGTACATGCTCTACCCCTGAGCTACACCCCCAGCCCCAAACTGATGTTTTTCAAAACAAACGACATGTATATTGGTATACATGAATACGTTTATGTTTAGAGTTTTTTTTTTTTTTTTTATTGTAGGGTCACAGGGTATACAGTATAGAAAGGAGAAGGATGTTTTTGTGCAGAAGAGACAAAGTTGCAGAGAGAGTAGAGAAAGCAAAGAAACTTTTGTGCTGTCCATCAGCCCAGTGTTCCCAGGAGCCAGAAGTAGTGATGACGAGCTAGACAGGTAAAATCTGGGACATGGAGGGCTCTGGGATGCCACTAGAGCTTGAATTTGTCCTGAATCATGGGGAGCTAATTCATTAAAGGCTGTTAAACACCAGGCACAGTGGCACACACCTGTAAACCCCACCAGCTCAGGTGGCTGAGGCAGGAGGATCTCAAGTTCAAAGCCAGCCTCAGCAAAAGCAAGGCTCTAAGCAATTCAGCAAGACCCTACATCAAATTCATTTCAAAGAAGCTACAGATAGGGTAGATTCAGAGTAGAGGAGCCGGACACAGGGGAGGTTTCCCACCTGGGAACCTACTAGAATAACCCTCAGAGGGGCCCT